TACTCTCTCTCTCTCTCTCTCTCTCTCCTCTCTCCTCTCTCCTCTCTCCTCTCTCCTCTCTCCCCTCTCCCCTCTCCCCTCTCTCTCTCCTCTCTCTCCCTCTTTCTTATCCTCAGACCCCAACCCCCGCCCCAGGCCCCTGGCCAGAGTTTCCCCACTGATGGTCCCTGTGCGCCCCCATATATGATGAATCCCTTCGCCTGGCCACCTTTCTCCCTCTGGGTGGCCAAACTTCAGTATCTTGATCCAAAACTTAGGAAGGGACATAATTTTTTTTTATCTCATTTAACCCCAAACGTAAAAAGGAGACCTCAGAAGAATGGAGTTCGTGATAAAGTGTTTATTACTATGTCATTCTTGGTACTGTTCTTGTTGTCACCGAGCTTTGGTCCGCGGCGTCCAAGGGCGGCGCCCCGCCCTGTCCCGCCCTCCCGCCCGGCCCCCTGAGCCCTTCCATCCAGCGGCCGGAGCCCGCAGCCCCAAGAGACCTGCGACGCGCGGCGACATGGCGAGCGGCCACCACCTTCTGCTGGAGAACGCGCAGCAAGTGGTGCTGGTGTGCGCCCGCGGAGAGCGTTACCTGGCTGGGCCTGCGCTGCGCAGCCTGGCGGTGCTGGAGGGTGCCAGCCTGGTGCTGGGCACGTGAGTACGCACCGGGGACAGACTGGTGGGGACCACCTGAGGGCTTGGATATGGGGCTCAGCTTCTGCTCACTGGCTACACGCTCTGTAGGCGCTGGGGACTTTGACAAAACACCCTCAGAGCCTCTGGAAGAAGCATCGTCCTCTTAACCACCCTCATTACTGTTTTCATAGATGACTCATCACTGTACCAGGCTTGGTTTTCCAGGTTTACTGTTTCTAGAAGATTCTGTAGACGGACTTTACTTCTTAAAAGCCAATTAGGGCCAGAGAGATGGCTCAGCGGTTAAGAGCATTGGCTGCTCTTACAGAGGACCCAGGTTCAGTTCCCAGCACCCACATAGTGGCTAACAACCAACAGTCTGTAACTCCAGTTCCAGGGAATCCAATGCATGGGTTTGGGTGCACTGGCTGCACTTACATATAGGCAAAACACCCAAACACATAAAGTAAAAATAACGGCTCAGGCCTGTAATCCCTGCACTCTGGAGATGCAAGGGTACACAAGGCCATCCTTGGACACATGCAGAACTTGAACATCAGACCGTGTCTCAAAAACAAAGCAAACAAACAAAATAAAAACTAAAAAGATTTTTTTCTTTCTAAATGTTTCTGAATGGAAGGTAAATAATAGTTCTGCTCCATCCTTGTTTTTTTCTGTTTAAAAAAGTGAAATGTTTATCTCAGAGAAAGTGAAAAAATACAGCTGAACAACAAAATCACTCAAACAGGGCATTCAGTGAATGATGCTAACATTTGGTTGCTAAACATAATCCCTTTTAAAGAAAAAGAACGAATGTATATTGTTTTGTACTTTACTTTTCCCTGTTAGTAGTAAATAGTGAAATCTCACCACCTCATTATTAGATATCTTTATGTTTAATGGCTAGTTAAGAATAAGAAAAAAAAACCTTATAACACTTTGGGGAGACTATTTCTCTTCTCCTTTAATAACTCTACCCTTGGATGTATGTTTTGTTCAGACATGATACTGGTAAACCCACCAGTGAATGAGAGTCCATGTCTTAGAAAGTAGAGAGCTGTGTGGTTAATGTGGCGAGGACTGGCTCCGCATCCTCAAACTCCTTCTCCCAGATGGCCTGATGCCCTCAGAGCTCTCCATGTTAGAGCTGATCCCATTAAAATAAAAATCTCACTCCTAAAGCAGTGCCAATCCTCAACTCTGCGTAGAGTACCTTTGTCACATCATTTGCCCTGTGGCTTTGGTAAATTCAGCTGCATGCCAAGTGGGACAGGCTTCTGAGGAGAGAAAGTCCTAAGCCAGAGTATCATGTGTGACCTGTATTCACAGGTCAATTTCTAACCCTGTTGATCTTTTCTACCACCAGATTCTCTGCAGAGTAAGAAGTGAAATTTCAAATTTTAGTTTCTTACTCTGTCCCTGAATTTGCCCTCCTCATAATTCCCTGCAGTCATTATTTTTTCCATTCATAGTTCCTATGGTTTTCATCCAGTTTTGGTTCCGTCATTCTTATACTCTGGTTAAACCCAGGCACTTCAATCCTACTCTAAAATTTTATTTTTATTTTATGTGTATACATGTATTGCCTGAATGTAGGTAAGTGCACCCGTGTCATGCAATGCCTGCGGGGGACAGAAGAGACTGTCGGATCCTCTGGAACCAGAGTTACAGACAGTTGTTAGCTGCCATGTGGGTGCTGGGATTCAAACCCGGGTCTTCTGCAAGGACAACCAGCGTTCTTAACCACCAAGCCATCTCTCCAGCCCCTAATTCTACCTCTAAATCCTGCATCCTGTCTTGCTGTTCACAATGCTTTCCAGCCCTCTGGATCATGCCCCTGAATCTCCAATTCAGAAACACTAATTCTCAGTAAGGAAAGAAGATCCCTATCAACAGTGGCTGAAACAACTTGGAAGTCTATTTTCTCCTTTGTAAGAGTCCTGAAGCAGGATGCAGAGCTAATTGATGGAGTTCTCAGCATCCAGGCTTCTTCTGTTTTGCTATCCTATGCATGGCCGACCTTCTTATAGTCAGGACTATGCGGTTGTCGACTTCAAGGAGTCGAAGTTCTCCAGGTTTTAGTTCGGATGTTGGGATCAGTCACTCCATGATCCAAGCTGGCTGCTCAACCTTAGTTATGTCTACTTTCCAACCTGTGAGAAAAGGGAGTGAAAACAATCCTACTGGTGAAAATTTAGTCACATGGTATGTTAGCTTTCCATTGCTGTGGCAAAATGCTTGAGGCAATCAGCTTAAAGAAAGGAAAGATTTATTTTTTCTCATGTTGTTGGAGGTTTCAGTCAGTGATTGGCTGGCTCCATTGCTCTTAGGCCTTTGACGAGACAGAATGCACAGTGGGGAGGGTGTACCAGATCAAGCTGCCCATCTCATGGTGGTCAGAAAGCAGAAACAGAGGGGAAAAAGAGGCCAGGACAAGATACAGTCACAAGCACTATTCTCCCAAGAATCCACACTCCTCAATCATGTCCCACTTCCTATGTTCCATCATCTTTCAATAATCCATCAAATTATGAACCCATCAATGGATTAATCCAGTGGTGAGACCAGAGCCCTCATGATCTATCATTTTTCCAAAGCCCTACTTCTGAACACTGTTGTACTGGGGCCCAAACTTTCAACAACAAAATGGAGGGCATTCCAGATCCAAACCATAACAAATTATTAATTGATGGGAGTTTGGGAAATATAGTCTTTATGCTGAGTAGTCATGCATTCTAGTTTCATATCTGTTGCTGTGAGAGAATATACTGACAAAAAGCAACTTAGGGGAGAAAAGGATTTATTCAGTTTACAATTGCAGGTTATAATTTATTATATCAGGGAAGTAAGTGGCAGGAGTTGAATCAACTTGTCATATTCATAGGCAAGAGCAGAGAGAAATAAATGCAAGCATGCTTGCTTACTTTGTTATAGGACGGATTCTCAAAAAAATCACCAACACCACTTTAAGAAAAGTAGCAAGGTAAATTTTAATTTTTGACCAGCTGGGCTTTCTATCTTGGGAGTAGAAGCAGCCCTGATGATTGTCAGGTCAGAGTTTTTATAGGATTACAGAATTATTATTAAAACAGGGCACTTGTGAACCAATCAGGTTTGTACAACATAACAGAATTTTGGCTCTATTAATCAACAACCAATCATTATACAGACAAGTGATACAGTCATATAACTTGGCAATCAACTTTGTGACCTTAAAACTAGCCAACTTTTTATCCATAATAAATATAATAAGGCAATCGAGGTAAATGACTTCTAGGTGGTCATACAATAACAGGATAACAAGGGTGGTCTTATGCCCTGTGTCAAGATGACCCAAGATAGCAAATGGATTACAGAAGCAAAAACAAGCTGGTTAGTCAGATGTATAATGTCTGGAATTAGCACATTCCATGATTCATGATTAGGAAAATTTCCCCAGACCCAAGGTTGCCCCCCTTTTCCTTTTGGTATGGCTCAAAGTTGCTGCTAAGGTGGCTCTGAACAAAATGGAGTAACTTAGGTAAGTTTGCTGAGCCAGTTCACTTATGTGTGCATTAATTGGTTTCTCCACTGTCACACAGTCTAGGACACCCCCCCCACCCTGCCTAGGGAATGGTGCTGCCCACAATGGGCTGGGAGTTTCCACATCAATTAACTTAATTAAAACAATACCCTGACAGACATGCCCACTGACCCTGCCAATGTAGACAGTGTTTTATTGAGACTCTTTTTCCAGGTGATTCTGGATTGTGTCAAGTTGATATTTAAAGCTAACCATCACATAATGTATCCAGGTATAATTTTAGGCTCTAGTACTTGGAAAAAGGGAATACTAACCTTGGGAGGAAAATAGGAAACTCTTTTGCACATGGATTGATTTGTTTTTTGTTTTGTTTTGGTTTTTGTCCACCCTACTACCATTGCTTTCCTAAAAATCCAGGTTCAAGAGGGAATTATCTGAAGTATCTAAAAGCATACTTAAATCATTAAACTTCTCACAAAATTTTCCCCAAACTTAGTAACTGTTTTTTGAATTTTTCTTCAGTGATGGGTTTATAAAAGCTATTGGTCCTGCTGATGTTATCCAAAGACAATTTTCTGAAGAAACTTTTGAAGAAAGGATTGACTGCTCTGGGAAATGCATCCTACCAGGTACCGAGGATCTTTTCCATAAAACCTGGAAAGGAGTATTAACAGTTGCTCTGGGAATATAAAGAGGAAGACTAGCAGTCTGTTTTAAATGAGGATCTAATCAAAAATATTCTGGTCCTATGTCCAGTTCTGCTATTTAATGTGTAATTGCTTTACCAACTATATTTCATGTTGAATCTTTATAACTCTCCTGTAAGGTAGATGTCTTCAACTACATGTAAAAGCTTAGAAAACCAGAGGTTAGGGATGAAATACCTCAGCCAAGGTTGATAAATAAGGGAGTCAAGCCCATCCATTCACCCCATTCTTCCTGCTCACCCAATGAAGAGAAGCCACCTAGATCATGCTTAGATTCTAAAACAATTGAAAGAACTTTATCAACCCATTGTATAGGGGAGAAAGTGGGCAGTTGCTATCTCTTTTTACCAGAAATACTTTAAATTTATATCGGGTTGAAGAAAAGGACTCAATGGTAGGTAGGCAAAGAATCCTCTCTCTCGTACACACAAGATTTCACTGCAGTTCATTTATGTCTTAGTGACTGACAACAGCAGCAGTCTCCTAATTAATTATCTTTTGAATTACTCTTTATCCAGCATTATCTATGTATTATATTCTTCAGTATTTATTATCTATATTACATTATCTATTATTAGGAAGTCTCACAAACTTCATTTTATACAAATATGGTCTTTTCTATTTATTTGATATTTTATAACCATTTATATAAATTATTTTAATATGTATTTTATATTATATGATAATTGCTGTAGACATCTAAAATGGTTGCACCTCTACCTTTGGGGGACAGGAGACAAAGTTAAAGTGAAATGTTATAGAAAGAAGATTATGATAGAAAACATTATGAATAGGGGTTTTTGACTTAGTATATTAAGAACCACTTATGAGCGATTGCTCTATAGTTTCTCATTAATCAAAATATTTCTTGAAACTAGTTTCATCTTCCTTATGTTTCCTTCTCAAAGTTGGAGAGAATTATTATTATTCCTTGGTGATACAGTTCTTGATTTTACTCAGTTCATGGTTTTGACCTGACTTAAAAGCTTATTTGATGAACATAAACAACTGAGCGAAGGAGCTGTGTATCTCTTAGGACTATTTGTGTTGTGTTGAGTTACACTCTTCTGTTGGGACCTTCTAGATCAACTAAACCTCCTAGATCTGGCACTTCCACCCTCCTCCAAGCTGGATGGCCACCATCATGTTTTCTTCAGAGCAGTACAATACAATCAACCTGGCATCTAAACGCCTTCTGTTTCTCAACTTTGGTTACAGGTTTGGTGGATGCACACACACATCCCGTATGGGCTGGTGAAAGAGTCCACGAGTTTGCAATGAAGGTAACTTCAAGGAAGGACAGCAAGTCAAATAAAGCACAAGCACAAAGTCTTTCTGAAGAGTTCACAGGCACTCAACCTTGGCCACATATCTTTTTATTAGATTCCTTTATTTGCCTAAACACTGAAAACAAGTTATAATAAAACTAACAAGTGAAACTTCCCCAAATCTTTAAATAGTGCATAAAATTAATAGCCAGTTTAAGCAGAACAGAGTTCAAAAGGTTTTTGGTGAATGATGGAAGCCTTTTAGAACAGAGCTGAACAACTTCCTACTGATTTCTCCTCCCTTCCTCCATTTCACACTACTATTTGTAGTAGCCTTGGAACAAGTTCTAAGAAATAGTTTGAGGGGCTAGAGAGATGGCTCAGTGATTAAGAGCACTGGCTACTCCTGCAGAAGACCCAGGTTCAATTCCCAGCACCCACATGGCAGCTAACAATCAGCTGTAACTCCAGTTCTAGGGGAATCCAACACCCTCTTCTGGCCTCCTTGGGCATTGTATGACATGGGTACACTTACATATATGTGGACAATATACTCATATACATAAAGAATAATAAATAAAATATTTCTTAAAAAATTAAAACGGGCTGGAGAGATGGCTCAATGGTTAAGAGCACTGGCTGTTCTTGCAGAGGATGTGGTTCAAATCCTAGCACCCACATGGTGGCTAACAACTATCTGTAACTCCAGTTTCAGGGAATCTGATGCCCTCTTCTGTCCTCTGCAGGCACTGCATGACATAGGTACATGTACACACATGCAGGCATAACACTCATGCACATAAAATAAAAATAAATTAAAAATTAAAACAAAAAAGAAATAGAGGATCACCATTCATTGGGTTCGTTGGGGATGAACTTGAAGAAATATATTATCAATCACGAAATAAAATGTCTTATTTTAAAATAAGACTTCTGAAGAGCAATGAAATGTCATACTAGTTTCATGAGGCACAGCCAGCTCCTGAGTAGAGCCATTGTTATATTGTTAAGAAAAAAAAGAGAGGATCTTAGCAGTGACATTGTATTATTTTAGAAAACAGAAGAAAAATCCTTTTCTTCAGATATCACATGCTTTCTTCAACAAATCAGAACTGCTTTTAAGAAAATTTCATTACATCATAGAACTTCAGAGCCAAAAGTGACTTTAGAGAATTTTAGTCCAATGCAACCATTTTGTAGATGATGGAAAAAGTGAGATCCAGGGAAGGGAGGATGTTGATCAGCTGAGGATGGCAGACCCAGACAGGTTCTGGTGGGAAGACCCAGGCCCATATGCTTTGTTTGAACCACACTCCTGCTGTCTAGGACAACTGGTGACTACTGGGACTATGTATAGAAAGAGCCTCTATTTGCTTGAGTGACAAAGGTTAGGCTCCAAACTCTGACGTCCTAATGATAGAGAAGCGACCCTTAGTCTTAGTAGAGATCTGAATAACGGCTGTGGGTTCCTGAGCTTTGTTTTTTCAAATATGCTGTGGATTGTAGGATGGGCCAAGATTTAGCTGGCTATGCATGGGGGCTGACTTCACTGTTAAAATTTTGAAATACTGCTGTATCTGAGCACTAATCAATTGTTGCTGCCTGCTGCCCTGAGATGTCCACTTGTTCATCCACCATATCTTCTGTCTCCACTTTTTTTTTCCTTTTTGGTCTTTTTGAGACAGGGTTTTCCTGTAGCCCCAGCTGGCCTGGAACTTGCTATGTAGACTAGGCTGGACTCAAACTCATAGAGGGTCACTTGCCTCTGCCTTCCAAGTGCTGGATTAAAGGCATTTGCCACTGTCGGTTGTCTCTGCCCTTTAAGTATCTCCTTGGCACTCCCTCCCCTGCGACCTGGTGGGGGCTTTTAAGTCCTTTAGGACTATGTGCCCCCTTTCAGATTTTGTTTGAGCTTGGTGCGTCTTAAACTAATTTCATTGATTGATTGGTTGTCTGTCAGTCGCTTGCTTGCTTGCTTGATTGACTGATTGATTGATTTATCTGGGGGGACTCATCATGTAGCCCAAGTTGGCCTCAAACTGGCTATTACAGCTGAAGCTGGCCTTGGGCGCCTGATCCTCCTGCCTCCACCTTTTGGCTTCTGGCAAGACAGGCCTGCACCATCAGGCCTGGCTGCACCTTAAGCATCTTTTAATATCACCCTTGGAAGTAAGTTCTGTAGCCGTCTAGCACCCTCCCTGAGTGAGCCGTGCTTTCAGTTGGCAGGGGCCACGTACATGGATATTCACCAGGCCGGAGGAGGGATAAACTTCACGGTGGAGCAAACGCGCCGAGCCTCGGAGGAGGAGCTGTTCCGATCTTTCCAGCAACGGTTGCAGTGCATGATGAGGGCTGGTACCACGCTGGTGGAGTGCAAGAGTGGATACGGTCTGGACCTGGAAACAGAGCTCAAGATGCTGCGGGTGATCGAGCGTGCCCGGAGGGAGCTGCACCTCAGCCTCTCTGCCACTTACTGCGGGGCCCACTCAGTGCCCAAGTAATGCCAGTGGTGGGCTGGGCTGCCCCTCAGGCCTCGGGAATAGAGACAGGGCCACGTTCTCTGGAGGGAGGAGCCACCAGCACTTTGAGCATTTGCCAGGAGACCATCAAGAGAAGCCTTTAGCGAGAGATCTGCTTCTAGCAGCCAGTCGTGGTGCCCAGGAGGTTTTAGGAAGGAGTTAGAACCTTCCATCAGTTTCTCTAGTCCTTTAAGAATGAAAGACTTCAAGCTTTTTTTCATTAACATAGAGAAATGGCTCTTCTCAAACTAAGATACTAATTTGAATAATGTTCCATAATTAGCACAAACCGCTGTAGAAATGACGAGTTAATCCCTGTAGGAGATAGATCAAATCGTGTAGACTAGGTGCCTTCAGAAGGGTTTTTGGTTCATCTGTTTACTCAATAGCAAGTATTTTCATTTTATTACTGTAATTTTAAAAAAGATTTATTTGTCTAATGTGTGTATATGAGGCCAGAAGAGGGCATTAGACTCCAAGGAGCTGGAGTTTCAGATAGTTGTGAGCTTCCTAAAATGGGTGCTAGAAACTGAACTTGGCCCTTAACTGCTGAGCCATCTCTCCAGTCCTATTTTTTTTTTTTTTTTTTTGCCTCTGCCTTTATCTAAAAAGTTCTGCTGCTTGGCTTTATGCAGAGGATTCTTGATCCTTATACATCTGCAGCTTAGCTGTGCTAAATTCCTTTCTGTTCTGGAATTTCTAGACAGGAAGACTCATGGGTCCAGGCCTGAAAAATCTAAAAGATATCCACAGTATGGGTATCTCCAAACTCTTAAAGCAGTCTTCAACTTAATGGCTGAGGCACATGTGTGCAAGAGATTTACACTGCATACATTATTTGAAACTTAAATCATTTCTATTTCTTTTACATGAAGTTTAGAATATACTTTATTTGATTATTTAAAATTGCACATATAGCATGTTGTTTGGAAAAACCCATACTTGTGAAATGGCTAACTCACACTAATTAACAAATGAATGTCTTCATTTTACTTAAAACTTTTTGTAGGGAGAATGCGTCCATGGCCAGGTGATTGACCCACTCAACTGGAATGTTAGGCTCTACCTAGGCCAGAGATTGCATCCTCTTGACCAGAAGGAACTAACTCCCTCTAATGGGACTTAACTGCTGCTGTGTCATTCCCCCTCTGAGGAGGTAGCCCTAAAACCATTTCAGAGATGAACTGAAATTGGGAATAGATGTAACCCGTTTTCACCATGAAAATCTAGAGAACCAGTTCCAAAGCTGTTCACTAGAAGGGGTTATTAATGTCTCTGGAATTGATGCTTTCAGGGTCCCTGCCCTGAACTGCCTGTACAGATTTTATCTTCCATTCTTATGAAGAAATATGATGTATTTTTTTATGCCAGTGTTCACTTGCTATCTTCAATCAGAGGAACCAAAAAGTTAACCTTAAAATTTAGTACTAAAGGGCTGGAGAGATGGCTCAGTGGCTAAGACCCGGGTTCAAATCCCAGCACCCGTGTGGCAGCTGACAACTGTAACTCCAGTCCCAGGGGATCCAACAGCCTCTTCTGACCTCTGTTGGCATTGCATGACACAGATGCACTTACCTACATGCAGGCAATACATGCATACACATAAAATAAAAATAATAAATTTTTTTAAAAAATTAGTACTAAAAATTCACATAACTTATATATAGAAAAGAAACATAAACATTTGGTATTTCCGGTGATCTTTACTACAAGTGTTTATATTTTTTAAATTACTGAAGTTAAAACTGCACTGAGACTTTGGAGATGGCCTGTTTACTAAAAGTAGATGTTTTCAAATGGCATGCATATGATAGCCTGCTTCTTTTGTATTTTATTAATAAGTATTGAAACCTGGGTTTAAAGACAGCTTAGCTAGCCAGGTGATTTTAAGAATATGGCTTAACTGTTTTGAACATGAAAACCACACATTTGATATAGAGTTATATAACACCCTAGTCTACATAATTGCTTTGAGAATTAAGAATAAATTAAGTGCCCTTCTTCTCTTGGTCGACCTCCACCCACCCACCCACATGGTTTTGCTGGGTGAGAGTCTGCTTCTGCCAAAGACAGGGCCGAAGTTTTATAGAAAATTTCTTCAGCAACCAGGAGGCTCTGAGACCTGTATCTTAAACCTCACTGAGGCTGAGGCTGAGATCACAGCCAAATCATGTGTCCAAAGAAAGGAATCAGGAAGAGGGAGAGTTCTATGCCTGTTTGACTTTGAAAGTTTAGCCCTTCCTGATGGATAACAAGAAGAGCTTTTCAAGGATTCCTTCTCCTTACACCACTCCTGATGGTAAGACAGAAAGCTTTAGGTAGAAGCTTCCAGAATACTTGTGGAAGGAGAGGAAGAAAAGGCAGCCTGCTAGCTATGGTTCAGGTATTGATGGTGTCCTCTAAATGTCCTCCATAGGGAGCATCAACTATGCAACCAGAGGCCTTACTGACATCCCTAAAGGCCACACAGCCTAGTGAAGCCAAGCTATTTGCATCTCTGTGTGTAAGGTCATGCAAACAGAGATCTTATTGCTACCTTTGCTGTGTAAGTGTGGCCCAAGTGTTAAGTCCCTGCGTTCTAGTTTCGATTTCTTCCCTTTCTGAAGCTTAAGCTCAGGGTGCCAGATTGTCCTTTCTTTATTAAACTATATACATTTTTGATGTATATATAATCTACATAATACATAAAGTATATGTACTAAATATTACATATTATATATTAAAGGGCATGCATAGTCTATAAAGTTGTATGTATGCGTATTTGTTCATAGTAATCTCCTTTTTTCCCACTAGAGGAAAAACTGCCATTGAAGCTGCTGATGACATCATCAGTAACCACCTCCCAAAGCTGAGAGAACTTGGTAGAAGTGGGGAAATCCACGTTGACAACATAGATGTGTTCTGTGAGAAGGGTGTCTTTGATCTGGATTCCACTAGAAGGATTCTTGAAAGTGGAAAGGAGATCGGACTACAGATTAACTTCCATGGTGATGAACTCCACCCGATGAGGGCTGCTGAGGTATGGCTGACCTTTGTTTTTTTCTTTGTCAATAGTTATTCCTGCAGTTCATGTTAAGGAGAACTTAATCCATTTGTTCAAAGTTAGGAGAAGCTTTCTGAAAAGATAGAGAATGGGAAGTTTGTTTGAACGATGTGCAAACTGGTCTGGTTGAACCTAGGACTCTATGATCTCTGTTAGGAACTTACTTTAGGGACCTGAAGAGATAGCTCGGCAGTTAAGAGCATTGGTTGCTCTTGAAGAGGACTGAGTTCAATTCCCAGCACCCATATGTCAGCTAATAACCATCTGTAACTCCAGTTCCAGGGGATCCAATGCCCTCTTCTGACCTCCACAGGCATTGCACAACACAGGTACACCTACCTACATGTAGGCAGTGTATTCATATACATAAAATCAAGATAATAAAATTTTTAAAAAAGAAATTCACTTTAGGGGCTGGTGAGATGGCTTGCTCAGTAAAGTGCTTGCTTTGCAAGTACAAAGACCCAAGTCTGATGTCCAGAACCTATGTTAAAGAAAAAAACAAACAAACCAGGCATGGTGGTCTGTGCTTACAATTCCACTGCTGGGAAGGTGAAGAAAGGCAGATCTTTGGGGCTCACTAGCTAGCCAGCCTAGCCAGTGAGTTCCAATCAGTGAGAGAACCTGTCTTAAAAAGGAAGGAGAGAGAAAGAGAAGGAAGGAAGGAAGGAAGGAAGGAAGGAAGGAAGGAAGGAAGGAAGGAAGGAAGGAAGGGGCAAGACAAAATCCAAATAGGTGGATGATGCCTAAGGAATAATATCTGAAGTTGTGTTCTGGCCTAGGCAAACAGACACACACACACACACACACACACACACACACACACACACACACACACACACACACGTGCATGCATACCTGCATATACGCAAGACACAAATATGCATACACACAAACACAAACATGCATCCACATACAGACATGCTCTCACACAACTTACTTTATGTTTGCTGATCATTTTACTTTGCTGTTGCTGCCCTGCTCTTGCTAAGCACATGCTCTACCACTAAGTTCTACCCCAGCATGATCATTTCTTTTATTATCATCTCCTGGTGGTAATAGAAAAAGAAGCACCGCTATGACTTCATCTACTAAATTCATGATGTATTTTGTTGCCACATGTACGAGTTACTTTTCCTGTTTCTATAAAAAAATATTTGATGAAAGTGAATAAAGGAAGGAAACGTTTAGTTTGGCTCATGGTTTGAAGATACAGTCCATCATGGTGGAGAAGGCATGGTCACAGGAGCATGAGACAGCTGGTCTCATTGCATCCACAGTCATAAAGCAGAGGGATGAATGCTGGTCCTCAGCTTACTTTTTCCTTTTATTAACTTGGAACCCCTCCAGTAAAATGGCATCTCCCATATTCCATGCAGGGCTGTCACAGACACATCCAGAGTTTTGTCTCCAAAGTGAGTCTAAATTTAGTCAAAGTTGATAATCAGTATTAACCTCCACAGTGCACAGAACCACACTAGCAGAGTGCTGTTGTTTCACATATAGCTTTAGGACCTTCTTGTGACAGCATCCAGATCAAAGTTGGTGTCGTTTATCAGTGACCACAGGATGATTTGCATGCCTGTACTTGTTGCCGAGGTTCATTTATGCACCCTTTTAACAATTGTTTGAGTGTCCACTGTGTGTCGGGCTCTGTTCCGGGTACTGAGAATTCAGTAGCGAATAAGACAATGAGGAGTCTACTATTTTTCCTCTAAGTCCTAGAGCTTAATAAAACAAATACTTTTGGGATATAAGCATAGTTGCAGACACTCTACCTGTGTCTGAAGTTTAATATATCCAGCTTAATGTCTTAATGTTACTTTTAAATCTGTTCATGCGTTTTTTTGCCCTAGTGAATGACTCAATCCCTTTTCTGTTGCCAAAGTCAAAAACTTGGGCATCAATTTGACTCTGCCCTCCTCATATGTCTGCTACAGGAATCATCACTTTCAAATCAGGCCCCAGGAACTGAGAGGAGGATCACAGCTTTTATTTCTCCTGGCAGAGACTCAGGAGAGTCATCTCCAAAGCCTGAGCACCGGGTTAGAGTTTCTTACAGTACTTATAGATAATACAGCATCAGTCCAGACCCATACTGTCATTGGTGGTTTTGAATTCCTGCCTACATGACTTTGGGCCAGGCACAGAGGCCACAGGGGTCTCTAACCTCCGTGAACTGAAATTTTAAGCAGGAATCATGTTTACAGAAGCAGAAATTAAACAAGCAGACATTTTATTAGGCAAGCAAAAAGCTGCTTCTTAAGATAAGGTTTTCATTGTTTCTCTATGAGCTCTGAATTTTCTGTTTCATGTCAACTAATGACCAAGTGCTCTCAGTTCTGTTAATTATCTCTAGATCTTTATCTCATATTACTATGTGGCTCAAACCATCAGCTCCACTGGGATTTCTGCATTGTTTTCTTTCTACCCAGTCTTCCTTCCACTTTACTGCCCACCTTTAGCCTCTTTCCTCCCACCTCTACATCCCACCCATTCCTTCCATTGTTTAAATTTAGCTAGTGAAAGCCTTGCTCTGAGGACAAATTCTAACCTTTGTGCATGCATTCCAGGATCCGGTCCTTCTTTATCTCTGCCCCTTCTCTTTCCTCTACTTTCTAACCTCCTCTACCTCTCTACCACAAACCAGCCACAATAAGCTACTTTTAACATCCTGTGGTTTGCACATGCTGTTTCTTTAATCTGGCCAATTCTCTCATCCATGTTTTGTCTTACCTACTATTTTTCTATGACTCCTTCCTAAACCCCTAAAGAATACATTATGGCCTCTCCCTGTCCTTTTCCCACTGGTTAAACTCGCCTCTGTGCGCCCTACTGGACTATAAAAACATTGGGCATTGCACCCAGACCTTTGACATCTTTATCCCTGGAGGACATCACAGTGCCTGGGTGCAGGTAGCCTTTTGTAAGCAATTGTTTGTTGATTTTTGTTAATGAAGGCAAACTGTGAGGTCAACAAGTTACTACTAATCAGAGAGAACAACAAGTGAAGAAAATCAATAGAACCCAATACCCATAATAGGCAACTCAAGTTTGGAAACCAAGGGTGATTCCAAGGTCAGAGAGAAACAACCCCTAAGGAACATGGTCCTGTGGACCGGCAGACTTCCCAGACACTCAATCTCCAACACTTTCAGACTGCGGCAAGCTGCTGATAAAGGGGTGAGGACTTCCCTCTGGTTAGGGCATAGCAGCTTCCCTGGGCCATGGTGTAATAGCAAACACTAGTCTGTATTCTTTTTCATGGGCTGCTTATTATGCTGACCTTTAGCTTGTGTGTGGTGTTGTGTGTGTGTGTGTGTGTGTGTGTGTGTGTGTGTGTGTGTGTGAAAACTCATCCAGTTAGGGATAAAATACATGACAGACTGAGCTGAGAAGAGACCTGTTGGAAATCAATGCTTCGGTGAAGTACCGTTAGCAGCACTTCCTCCCAGCTTGCTTCTGACCATCAAGCCCAGCTTTTCATCCAAATTAAAATCAAGTTCAAGTTGACAATTTCAAATTATTAAAAGTATATTTTTTATTATTATGTTTATTTCATGTGTGTGAGTGTAACGCCTCCATGTAGATACACCCATGTTATGCAATGCCCATGGAAGTCAGAAGAGGGTGTCAGATCCCCTGGAACTGGAGTTACAGACAGTCGTTAGCCACCATGTGGGTGCTGGGAATTGAACCCAGGTCCTCTGCAAGAGCAGCCAGTACTCTTAGCCACTGAGCCATCTCTCCAGCCCTCGAAGTTTATTTTTGGCATTCCAAAACACCTATCTTCATTATGTTTTTATGATACTAGAGTAATTAGATTTTATTACTAATATCATTCAAGATTCATGAAATTATGTTTCAGAGAATATCTGAACATTTGTGTTTAGAATTAGTTTTTTATTTGTTTATTTTTTTAAAAACTGGTCTCACTATATATACATATATATACATATACACACACACACGTGTGTGTTTGTGTGTGTGTGTGTGTGTGTGTGTGTATGTGTGTGTATGTCTTTTGGCTGGCCTAGAACTCACTATATAGCCCAAGAACTAAAGCTTTGAACCATACAGAACTTACTATATAGCCTTGAACTCGAGTCAGTCCTCCTGCCTCAGTCTCCCAAGTGCTGGGATTACAGATGTGAGCCATCGTACCTCACTTTAAAATTGGTTTTAGGGGACTGGAGAGATAACTCAGTGGTTAAGAGCACATGTTGCTCCTCCAAGACCTTAGATTTGTTCCCAGCACCCACGTCAGGCAGCTCACAACTGCCTATAATGGCAGCTCCAGGGGGATCCAATGCCTCAGGCTTCTGTGGGAACCGGCATTCACATGCACATACCCACAGAATTAAAAAGAATAAAGTCAATTTTTTAAAAAGATTAGTTTTAACACCAACATGCTAATTTTCAGATTACTGTCCATTACAAACCCTGTATCCATTTGGGGACTTGTGATCATCAGAGGTAGTTGAGCTCTTCCTATCGGAGGCTGTTTCTTCTTGTAGGGAAAAGCAGTATCATGGTACTTTATTGAGTTGTCATTTGTTAAACCTTTCCCTCTCTGCCCATCCTGTCTAGCTCGGGGCTGAACTGGGAGCACGGGCGGTCAGCCACCTGGAAGAAGTGAGCGATGAAGGCATTGCTGCCATGGCAGCAGCCAGGTGTTCTGCTGTCCTTTTACCCACCACGGCTTACATGCTGAGGTAGGTCGCTTCTTGCCCCCAACACCAGGGCAGCAAGTATGAGCTGAGAGGACACAGACTTTGGAGGTGCCTAAAAAGTTTTCTATTGCCCTTACAAATCCCTAAGGATACAGACGGTGGAAACCTAGATCCCTGCATTGATTTTCACAAATGAATCCCCAGGGGAAAGAACTTAAATGGAAATTGCTTTTGAGAGTAGGATTACTGAGGATTCCTTCCTTCCTTCCCCTTCCTTCCTCTTTCATTCCTTTCCTTCCTTCTTTCCTTCCTTCCTTCCTCCCTCCCTGCTTCCTTCCTTCTTTCCCCCTCCTTCCTCCCTCCCTCCTCCTCCTTCCTTCCTTCCTTCCTCCCTCCCTCCTCCTCCTCTTCCTTCCTTCCTCCCTCCCTACCTCTCATAAACCCACCAGAATTCAGTCATTGTATTTCAACTCCAATGCCTCTACCTAATCCTAATCACTTCCCAAAGACGCAACCTCTACACATCATAGTTGGGTTAAGTTTCCATCTTCGTAACATATTTAATCCTTCTTAGTACAGGTTACATTTCAACACATGAACTTTAGGGGAACACTCAAAGTCTTAACAAGTGATGACTTTATTTCTTCCTTCCTTCCTTCCTTCCTCCTTCCTTCCTTCCTCCTTCCTTCCCTTCTTTCCTTTCTTCTTCCTCATTCCTTCCTCCTTCCTTCCTTCCTTCCTTTCTCTCTCCCTCCCTCCCTCCTTCCTTCCTTCCTCTCTCCCTCCTTCCTCCTTCCTTCCTTCTTTCTTTCCTTCCTTCCTTCCTTCCTTCCTTCCTTCCCTCCTTCCTCCCTCCCTCCCTCCTCCCTCCTTCCTCCTTCCTTCCTCCCTCCCTCCTTCCTTCTTTCCTTCCTTCCTTCCTCCCTCCTCCCTCCCTCCCTCCCTCCCTCCTTCCTCCTTCCTTCCTCCTTTCCTTCCTTCTTGCCTCCCTCCCTCCTTCCTTTCTTTTCTATTATTCTTCTTTCCTAGATTTTGAAATTTCCAAGTTAAAAAAACCCCAGCATGAATGACTTTTTTAGTTAGCAAATAGTAAAATAGGCTGTTGGTTTTTAAAAACACATGTAAGACATTAAGGATATTTAGCAGCACTCAGAATCTGACTGAGGTGTTTTCTCCAAGGATGCTGGTAATGATGGTCACTCCAAGGTGACAAGAGTCACCTACTGGAATTCTCACAAATTCTGGGGTGAGAGAAGTGAGGAGATGTGTAAATATGTTCTGCAAAATTTTCCAGAGCTAGCTGAGCATGGTGGCTCATGCCTTTAATCCCAGCACTTGGGAGGCAGAGGCAAACGAATCTCAGGGAGTTCAAGGTCAGCCTGGTCTACATAGCAAGCTCTAGGCCAGCTGAAGCTTCAGGAAGACCCTGTCTCAAACAAACAAACAAAATTTTTTTCAGAGCTTTTGCCTTAGGCCTGCTACGAATTGAATACATTTGGTTCATATCTATAACTACTGTCTAAGTGTGCTAAGTAGGGAACCTAAGGTTTTCTAATTCTTTCTGTTTCCCTCCATGGCAATTGCTGAGTTTGTGATCTGACCCTCAAGGGGTTGAGTCTAGGTGTGGTTATGACACATGGTCTAGGTGTGGCTACCATCCATGGTCTTTTGAGAGATAATTCTGCAGCTGTAAACTTAAGACACTGATTCTCTGCCCTGGTGAGATTTTTGTCTCCTGAGAGACATTTGACAATGTCTGGAGACAATTCTGGTTGTTACAAATACACGATGCTAATGGTACCAGGTAAATAGAGGCCACGGATGCTGCCAAACGTCTCTCAATGCAGAGAACAGTCCTCCACAACAAAGAACTTTCCAGATGAAGATGAAAAAGGCTAGGTTTTGAGTAACTTAGAAGAAAAAAAGAGTATTTAAATGTCTTTCTATAGTTTAGTATGATTTCCTATGCACTTATGATATATACTTTTATTGTGGTTAATATTCTCTTAATTTAAATAGTAGACACAATGCAGGTTACAACCCAGGAAACACTAATAATTGTGTTTAGTGTGACCAACTGCTTTTCTTTTTTAATATTTTATTATTTTTATTTTATCTTTATGTGTATTGCCTGCATGTATATAAGTGTACCTGTGTCAAGCAATGCCCACAGAGGTCAGAAGAGGGCATTGACCCACTGGAACTGGAGTTATGGATGGTTGTTATCTGCCATGTGGGTTCTGGGAATCGAACTCAGGTTCTCTGCAAAAGCAGCCAGTCCTCTTAATTACTGAGTCATCTCTCCAGTCACCCAACTGCTTTTCTTATGCATATCAATAGTCATTAATCTAAGTCATCAATGACTATTCATTTGGTTTATTTTCTACCACTCAAGGAATAAGTTTTGATATATACATAGAAACAGCTTTCCCCCACCTAAGTAGTTCTGAGGGAGCAGGCCATCAGAATGATTTGTGCGGAAGCTGCAACAGTCCCTTTTCGCTGAAGCTTTCCTCTCTGTGGCTTTGCTTACAGGAGGCCAACTTCAGCATGAAAATGCTAAGTGGGAAATCCCAGAGGTAAACAACTGATCATTTTTAAATAATTTCTATTGCAGTGTATTGTTATAATTATTTTATTTTATTATCAGATATTATTGTTACTCTCAGCATGCCAAATGTATAAATTAAACCTTATCATAGGTCAGTATGTATAGGAAAACATTGTATCTATCCAGTCTGGTACTGTCTGAGGTTTCAGGCATCCCTTGGAGATCTTGGGATATATCCCCTGTGGACAAGGAAGCGCTGCTAGATTCCCTCACTCTGTCTCTGCTTTGCTTACTGTCCCTCAGTTTTAAAGTGGTCCTACAAATGATCAACTCAAACTGAGAATGCCTCAGGACAAGAATCAACTCTGCAGATTCATTCATATGTCAACAGGTGTACAACGGCCTGCTAGTTTCCAGGTTTTCAAGGTGCTAGGGAACCCGACGATGGTACGAAGTCTTTGTCCTGAAGGAGCTGACATTCTTATGAGTAGAGGCAGACAAGTGAAAGCAACAGATGAACCCATGAAATGTTGGTGAGGCTAGGCTCTGTGAAAGCAAAATCAAAGTACGGCCAGAGTGTGGAGCGTGTTGGTGGGAGGAGGTTGTGATTTTTAGGTTAGTGGAAAAGCCTTCTTGACTAGAAACCTAGATGTGAGGAAGTGAGCCACATCTAGGGAAAGGAGTGGGGATATTTACAGGAATGTTCTGGATAGACAGATGACCAGTACAGCAGTGCATTGAACTTGGTGTGTTTGGGAGCAAGGATGAGGCTAGAGAGGCCGAGGGGGTCAGTAGGAGATGAGTGTCAAATGAGGGCCATACTTAAGAGCATCTGAGGCCATAGTGCAGACTGTAAGTCTGTAAGGGGCCACTGGAACTTTTTCAACACCACCCTCTGGCGGCTATCGAAAAAATAGATATGGATGGGGCAGGGATGGACTGGGAGAAGCAGTTAGGGTGGTCCTACAAGTATCCTTGGATTCTTTACTAGGGGCTACAAAAATTATTTGGATATATGTTTAAGGTGGAGCTAACACATTTTTCCCCCCAAAGGAGTTGATATGGACTGAGGGAAAGAGGAGTCAAGGACAACACTAAAACTTTAGTTCCCAGCATGCGGCACACGTTATTCCCTCTGACCAATAACCCACAGAGTTTTATTAAGCACTGTATGTAAATCCGTATTTTTCCATTGAAACTACTAAGAACTTCCTGCATTTGGGTGTGGTGAAAACAGCTATAATTTTTTAAAAATTTCCTCCATTGGGCATGGTGGCACCTGCCTTTAATCCCAACTCTCAGGAGGCAGAGGCAGGCAGATCTCTGAGTTCAAGGCTAGCCTGGTTTACATAGTGAGTTCCAGGCCAGCTAGGGCAACTAGGAGACCCTGTCTCAAAAAGTCTTTTTTCTCCATCAAATCTTTATTGAACAGCTATTTATGGCAGGCACTGACTGATACTAGGGATGCAGTGGTGAATTATCCTTTGGGGAACTTGTCTAAGGGTATGGAAGGGGAGACATGCACAGACAGCAATACCTTCCACTCTGATTTGGTGACCAGGTAAATGAACAGAGCAGGGTCAGGTGTGGTCTGAGTCTAGTAGATTGGATGCATGTCAAGGAGGGGAAAAAAATTCTAGACCAGGATAATGAGAAACTCTGGAGTGAGTGTCCAAAAAGATAAACTCAGTGGTACCCAAGTGTGGTGGTGCCTGCCTGTGATCTCCCAGGATGACTGAGGCAAGAGCATCATGAGCTTGAGGCTGGCCTGGGCTACAGAGAGTTCAAAGGGGTACTCCAATTGCTTCACCCTGCGTCCCTGTTCAGCATGGAAGAAGCCAGAGCGGTCTGCATCCCGATTCCCTATTGGAAATTTGGGCAACCTCTTCAGAGGATGGTGTGATAAGAATAGGAAGTAGGAGTTGGCTAGGCAGTTAGGGTGGAAAGACGCCAAAGAAAAGTAGCCAGTTTCTTAGCTAAAAGTCAAAATGTCCTTGGGTCTCTTAGCAATGTACTCTGTTCAAAGGGCCAAAAATATCGAAAGTATTTGGGAGGTTGCATCTAATCCTTAAAAGATTTTAGGATTACATCTTCGGAGAGGGGAATGTTAGAGAAGCCAAAAGCCCCATAAAAATTAATAAATAAATCAAAGAAGAAGAAAGAGTACATGAAGTTATCAGAAAAATGATAGGGAGATATGGGAGGAGTTGAAGGGGAGGGAGTGGGCATGGATTTGATCAAAACACCTTATATGTATGAAATTCTCAATAAATTATTTATTTTTAAGAAAGAGTTCAAAGCCACTCTGAGCTACATAGTAAGACTTTGTTTCACGAAACAAGAAAGAAAACAAAACCAAAAGTGTCCCAGTGATTGGAGTGCAGTGTCAGGTAGTGTAGTGATAGGGAACGAGGCTCTTAAAATTTATGGAGGGGGGCGCTCAGATGCCAAACTCACGTGAACTTTATAACTACTTTGAATACAGCTATAAACTTATTCTTGCCACATTCAGCATGCTCAGTCCTAGAATGCCACCATGTCATTCGTTCATTCATTCATTCATTCATTTATTCGTTCATAAAAGCAATCATATCAATTAACCTGAAGCAAAGGTGGGTTCTGGAACAAACAAATTCTAGTTAAAAAAAATAGTCTTCACAGCTCTTCACTTCTGCTGGATTTTGCAGGAGTTTGAATGTAATAGTCTAAATGCCTAAAAAAAAAGCAGCTCAGTGAGGACACTAACCAATCAAGTGGGTGCAAAGCTAGAGACAGAGTAGGGTTTCAAGAGAAGGGGACAGGGGTACTCTCAGGAGCTGCCTTTAGCAATCAGCAAGCCACAGTGTTCCACCACGGCTGAGGAGAGGTCCACTGACTATCATGAAGCCACCTCAGTCATTGCAAGGGCTAACAGGGTGCTGTGGGAGCCCAGAGGACAGGGCTGGTCATGAAGCCTTCTCAGAAGAGAGACCTTACAGAGATTTTCCTTCATCAAACTTTAGACAGGGTCCTCTGAGCCCTTTTCTGGACTAGGCCTCACTGAGCACAAATCATTTCACCCACCCATTGCCCACAGCTAAGAGCCTAGAACAAGCACTAGCACAGTTTCTAAGGGCTCAAAAGTTTATCTCTAGGATGCCCCAGTCACTTTTTGAGTCAGGCACCAAGCTCACTGCTGCAGAAGAATATGCTATTCCAATCTGAAACCTGTGGATAGGCCCTTGACTTCTCTCTAAGCAGTTACTTTTAAAATCTTACAATTATAAATTCTTCCACTCCTCCTCCCCCTTCCAAAAGACCAGAGAGAGAAGTAACTCTTTGAAAGGCAAGTATTCAAGGAGAAAACTTGTTCCCAGCTGCCGGTGCCAGCCAGCTGGCCGAGATGAACAGCACCTGAAAGGGGGAGTGAGGATGAAAGAAAAACAAGAGACAGAGAAAGATACTTGGGAGGACTGTCAGTAGAGACTGCAGCCCCGGGTTATTTTAGCTCAGCCTTTTTATACAGTAGAACATCAGACAGCCACCATATGCTTAGCTCGATTAGCTTCAACAGCTGTTTTTTTCCACCTTCATCTGAGGGTCAAGGAACAGTCAAATACTTGTGAATTCCACCATTTAACCATCTTCCCTAAATTACCAACACATTCCTCCTGACTTGGCAGAACAATTTGGTGCTGGTGTGCAAAACACACAAACTCTTGAGTCAAGGTGAAAGATCATAAAGTAAACAAGCAAGCCTGCCACAGCTCAATATACATAATGGCTGTGCTTATACTAATAGCTCCCAACACCCAGCCAAGTGGGTGCCTTGCTGTAAATTACACCCCTGCCTCCTGCCATAAAGGTAAGAGAAGCTGTATCTTCCCCAGTGGAGTGCTGATTAATAAAGCCAACAAACTCACAGTGACCAGTACCTCCCATATTTTATAAATTTCTGTTTCCCAGCAGCTTGAGCCTCAGTCCACTCCCCTATGCTTTCCTTTCTCTGCTCCCTAATTCTCCCTTTAAAATACTTAGCTACCTTCTCACAGATCTAAGTTGAGTATATGCTACACTCTTTTCCCTGTGACAACGTTATTATTAAATTCAGTCTGTCTTCATTGCTTTAATTAGTACCTGGCTTAGTTTATCTTTAGCATAACTTTTGTTGTGGTGGTTTTTTGAGATAGGATCTCACGTAGGCCAGGCTGACCTCAAACTTGTTATGTAGGTGAGAATAACTGCAAGCTTCTGGTCTTCCTGCCTTCACATCTGAAGTGCTGGGATTACAGGTGTGTACCAATGTGCCTGGCTCTTTATCATAAGTATGCCCTCGTAGAGACGGCTAACCCAGGAAGATACACAAACATTTTTTTTGAGACAGGCTCTCCCTGTAGCCCCAGCTGGTCTGGAACGTGCTATGTAGACCAGGCTGGCCTCAATCTCAGAGAGCTTTACCTGCCTCTGTTTCCTGAGTGCTGGGATTAAAGGCATATACCAACTTGCCTAACACACATTTTATATAGGAAATTGTTGGGCCTTTTTAGAAGGACCTGATCCCTTACCCCAAAAGTTTGAAATAAAAAAGGTTAAGGGGGGGGGATGTAAATTAATAAAAATAGCATTTTCTAACTTCATTGATTATTTTATTTGGAAGTCACAGAAGTGTAGTAGATTTTATTAGACATGTTTATTCATTTAATGAATGAATAATTTGTAAATTATATTTTTTCTTTACCAAGAATGTCACATATACATAAAGATTGCCAAAATAAATGATCATAAATAACAAATATCAGCTAAGCAATTCCAAAGGTGGAATGATAAAAGTCAAGAATCTCAGGGCTGCTTTTCCCAACTCTGCCACTCTCCTCTTCCAGGACACGAGGGCCTCAGGTGTCTCAAGTTCTCCTCTGTTCTTGCATCTGTTCTTCCAATGTTCCCACTTGAGACTGACACCTTATTTTTCCTCCTTTTAGGCTACAGCAGCCTCGAGCCAGGAAGATGTTAGATGAAGGAGTGATTGTTGCCCTGGGTAGCGATTTCAACCCCAACGCGTATTGCTTTTCAATGGTAATTATGTTTCAGGTGTTTTTCTGAGTGAAATAGAGTAGCTACCAAGCATATAAATAATGTAAAAAAATCATTAGCAGTGAGAACCTATAAAAAGAAATTGAAAAATATTTCCCTGAGAAACAAGAAAAAGAGCAAGGCACAGATAGGCATAATTGGATCTTTCTGCACACAAACGCCTCCAGGCTGAAGAGAGGAGACAGGCTTCATCCAAATTATTTTCTGATTTAGCCTGGAGTATTATGGTTTTAGGATAAGCCATTTTCCTTCTCTAGTGCATAGCAGAAACTCAGTACGGCTTCAATCAGTAAGGGTCATGGGTAAGCTTCTTACACAGTAAGAGATCTTGAAAAATTATAAATATTAAATATACAGTATCATTAAATAATAAAGGAATCTTTCCAAAACCTAAGGACCGTTATGTGTAAATTTACATTTTCCCATCACAACTTAGCAAATTCTACCTGTATATTTTTGTGGAAGGACAGTGGGATTAAGCCCAGGGCCTCGTGCATGCTGCACACAAACTGCCACTGAGCTATATCCCGAACCCTTCCAGATATACATGGAATTATCTTTACTTGTGCTGTGTGGAGAGGCATCCTAACTAGGAGCTGCTGCTCTGTCAATGCTTTCTCTTCTTGCCTCAAGCCAATGGTCATGCACCTGGCCTGTGTGAACATGAGACTGTCCATGCCAGAGGCCTTGGCTGCTGCCACCATCAATGCAGCTTATGCATTAGGAAAATCTCACATACATGGATCTTTGGAAGTTGGCAAACAGGGGGACCTCATTATCATCAGTGCATCCAGGTGAGTGTTCTCTCAAGCTAATAATGACTAATAATAGCTAACTATTAGCTGTTTTATTTGATGCCAATATAGATAAGGTTTAGATCTCTTTTCCATTTGTTTTTAGGAAGTATCAGACTCTATATAGACTCCCAAATTACCCAGATGCCTTGATTTTTACCCCTTTCTCTTTTTTCCTAAAACATTTTTTTAATTTTATGTGTATGCATGTATTGTCTGCATGCATGTAAGTGCACCCATGTCATGCAGTGTCTGAGGAGGTCAGAATAGGGCATCAGATCCCCTGGAACTGGAGTTACAGACAATTGTTAACTGCCATGTGGGTGCTGGGAACTGAACTCGGGTCCTCTACAAGAGCAGCCAGTGCTCTTAACCGTGGAGCCATCTCTCCAGCACTGATTTTTACCCCCTTCTAACCAGAAAGTCTACCTTGAGATCTTAAACTCTACAATAAACCAAGTTTTCAGGTCTCTTCGCCTGCCCTACATCTTTTGTAGGTTTCTAATTCCTGATCTGTTTACCTGGACTTTGATCTTATCCCCTTTGGCATGCGGTGTGTGTGTTTGGTTTTGTGCTTGCTCCTAACCTGCTTGCTCCCAGCTCTGGTTCCGACTCATTCTTTCTCTGTTCCTGGGTTCTTATTGCTCACCTATGGTCTGCTGCCACCCAGGCCTCCAATGCCACAAGTTGGTCCTAGTGTTCTAAATCTGAAAGTTGTAAATCCTGTCTCTTTGACCTTCAGGAGTCTGTCAAAGCCCTTGGGCCCATATTCAGCAGAGGAGAGTAGCCCGTAATTCTACTCTTCATGGAAGAACCTACTTGCTCCATTGAAGATAATGTTCTCATACCATTTGTACATCTTATATAAACATTTAAGATGAAATGCTCAAATAATATTTTTAAATATTTTCCTTTTTTGGTTATACACTATTTTTTTTTAAAAGTCCAGGGGCTAGAGAGATGGTTCAGCTGATTAAGCACTTGCTGCACATGCATGAGGACCAAAGATTGATCCCAGCACCCATGTGGAAAGCCAGGCTTGACAGGATATGCCTGTGATTCCAGCACTGGGAGGCAGAGACAGGAAGATCGCTAGGGCTTGCTGGCCAGCCAATCTAGTCAAATTGGGGCGGAGAGCTCCAGGTTCAATGAGAGACCCTGTTTCAAACAAAAAAGGTGGAACATGATTGAGAGAGACTCTACTGTGGACCTCTGGCCTCCATGTGCACCCCAACACATGGGCAGGCATATCCCATGCACATGTGCTTATATATCCAAGCACACACCCCCACACACATGCACACCCCCCCACACACACACAAAGGGGGGGAAAGAAAGAGAGGAGAGAGAGACAGAGAGAGAGAGAGTGAAAGAGCCCAAATACCAGTGACTAATATACATTAATTTTTAGAGAATTCATTTTAAGTTAGCATTTACTGACAGTGATGTTGTGATTTATATGCACTGAAGACACTTTGATTTCTTTCTAGATGGGAACATTTGATTTACCAGTTTGGAGGCCATCATGAATTAATTGAATACGTTATAGCTAAAGGAAAAGTCATCTATAAAAAATGATAGATCTGGAAGGAAAGAGAAGACGCTTTCTTTGTATGAAATAAGTCGACTCAGATATAAGTTAAAACACTTCAGTGGCTTTTCAGAACTATGTCACTTAAGCCTAATTATATCTCAGTGTTTTACTAATTTACTTGAAATCCCAAAGGACTAATTTATTTGAATTGAGCATGTGCACCTAGTAAGCCCATTGTGACTAAGCATTACATTGTATTGCAAAGATTGGTTGCAAGTGCTCTGAGATGAACATGGTGAGGTAGCTCAGAAATCTCTCTGTGGGAGAAACAAATTTGGCCTGAAATTTCTATTTTATTTCTGCAAGTGATATGTCCTCAGTAAGGCTAATTATACCATTTCCTAATAACTAGAATTCTCTTTCCCCACAGATTGTCTTTTGAGATTTCAAGTAAATAAATAAGGACCTGGGAGTAGGGAGGTGGAGCATGTCCTTCTGAGCTTTTCAGCCTTAGCAACAAACCTTCACGACAAAATTCAGGACTTGTTATTTTAGACAGAGTCATGGGAACCATCCCATAATTAATGTATTTTTGATGAACTCTAATGATGTAGCTTCAAATTTTTTCTTTATGTTTTTGATTTTTCATATCACAAATTCATGGAAAGAATGTTATAGCTTTTAATAAATATTTGCTGTTACTACTGTTGTTATTTCTGTACAGCCCTGGAAGCAGAGCACCAGTATTGTCCACAGAGTCTTTTGAAATGTTGAAGGAATAAATCAAAATCAAAAGCAAAATCACTTGCAGAGTAGATGATTATTGTTATAAATTGGTGTTTCTACAGCCATATCTGTTTACTTGAAGCCTTTTAAAATGTTTCAGTGATCTTCATAATCATAGTGTTATCAAGCTTTGTCCTATTTACAAAAAGGTGATCTGGAAAATAACTATTAGTTGCCAATCCATAACCAAATTCAGGTTAATAGAGCCTGAATTGATGAACTATGTTCAATATAAACCAAGTCAAGATACCTGCATTAACCAATTTTTGTTGCGAGGCATGCTGGCTGTTTTTGTTTTGTTTTGTTTTGTTTTGTTTTGTTTTTTAAAGATTCAAGCTATTTGTGTGGGGGTTGGAGAGCTGGCTCAGCAATTAAGAGCAGTGGCTGCTCTTGCAGAGGACCCAGGCTTGGTTCCCAGCATCACCTGCTGGCTAACAACCATCTGTAACTCCAGTTCCAGGTGATCAAATGCCCTCTTCTGGCCTCTGCAGGCATGTCATAAATGCACCTATATACATACAGGCAAAACATTCATACACATAAAATAAAAATAAACATTTTCTAAAAAAATTAATATTATGTGTGGGGAGGGTATGAACAGGAGTGCCAGTGTTCACGTAAAGAAAAGAGGTTTACTTAGCTTATAGTTGTGACTGCTGACAGTTCCCAGTAACCTAACACATGCTCTGGCGAGGGTCCCCCATTGGCTGTGTCAGCTCATGGCAGATTGCAGTGGATGGAGGGAGTGTTGGGAGAGAAACTAATCATACCTCTACACAGAAAGACAGAGAGAGATTGTGTGGGGTCAAGTCCAAGCCTCTCAAGAACTATCCACAATTTCAGGAGAAATGCCTTAGTCCTTTTCAAAGACAGTCTTCTACTCCTAATAGATCTAAGGTTCTCTTACTAAGTTCCACCTCCCAAAGGTCTCCCCTCCAACACAGCAACACTGAGGATGAGGCTTCCAATGCAGAGAAGATTACAATACAAACCACACCCAAATTATGGGAATATGATTGTTAGAAAGTTTAGTGTCACACTGCATATTGTTGTCACTACATTATAGTCTTTAGGGCTATAACATTTGACTAGTGAAGGAGTTGTAAGGGTCTCTCTGCAGGGGCATGGTTGTTGTGTATGTAAATGTTAGATACAAAGCCCCAAACTAAAGTTAATTTCAATCCATGGCACAGCAAAATAAAACCAAGGTCTGGGGATATAGCACAGTTGGTAGAATGCTTGCCTAGCACACACAAAGCCCTGGGTTTGAGCCTCAGCACTGTGTAAGTTAGGCGTGGTGGTGCACACCTGTAATCGCAGCACCCAGAAGTTGGAAGTAGAAGGTTATTGTCAGCTATATAATTAATTCAAGGCCAACATGGGATGTATAAGACCTCAAGAGAAAGGAAGGGAGGGAGGGAGGGAAGAAGGGAGGAAGAGAAAGAAAGACAAAAGAAAAAAATGCTTTAAAAAACTCCATCAAAACAAAATCCCTAACATTAGGTCTGCTCTGGGACCCAGGTCTGTAGGATCACATCCTGGTCGTTAAGATGGGAGAATGTCCTCTAAAAAGACATCCCTCCAAGGCCTCTATTTTGGATAAAAGCAGAAGAGGTGCCTACCTGAGTCACCTTAGTCCTCCCAGGCCAGTGTGCTATTAAGTCCTTGACACTCCCGGAGTTTCAGGAAGTACAGCACACTGCCCAGGTTCTGGACTCTGGGGGGGCATGGTTGTTGTGTATGTAAATATTGGATACAAAGCAGGATAGAATGCAGGCAAGAGTGTTGTAGAAGGATTAACCTGGCTTCTGTGCACACAGCAGGCTAAACCATATGTTAGGCATATGAATGGGTTTTGGGCAGATAGCTGCAGAGCTGGCCAGGTCCTTCGATCAGGAGAGTGGGAGGCATCTGGTGCTGGAGGCCCAGCTTCCAGGTTCTCACAATGACTTGAAGGTGTGAAAATCTCTCTTGCATGCTCCACTGAGCCAGATCAACATTCTATTTCTCAACATCTGAATATTCACAGCCCTCACAGGGCTCAAAGATTTTGTTAGGTACAGTCAAACTTTGGAAGACTACAAACCTATTACATGTAAGCAAACAAACAAAAGCCAAGTAACTTTTTTTCTTGGAGGCAGACATGGTAATGGATGTCTGAAATCCCAGCACTGGGGAGGTAGAGGCTCTGGGCTATATAGTGAGACCTTGTCCTAAACAAAACCAAACCAAGCAAAACACAGAAAGAGGAAATAAAAAAGAAAAGAAGGGAATCACAGGA